ATTACTGAAGGACTAAATAATCTTTTTCCTCTCACCATAGCTCATTTGGGAAGAAATCTTCCTCTCCCCTGTCATTCTTAATAAGTTTTGTCTTTTTGCTATTTCTCCCTACCTTGTTGTATACATCTATTTACTCACGCTCATCAAATATGTTACCCGCTTTCCTCTGTCCCTCTTTCTCTCAATATGCCATGTAAGTATCAGATTCCTAAGCCGTCCTTCCTCATTAAGTGACACAGAAATTTCAACTGCCTCCTTCGGATGTTAAATATATGTTTCTATTTTCTCCAAAATATCACGTGTTCGGTCCATGGTATCGTCAGCATCATTCTGTAAAATTATATTTCTGTTGCTTCAAGTCTCTTCTTCATCTTTGAGGAGATTGTCCAGCATTTGCTGCCTTACAAGGGGACTGATATCACGTAACAGATCAATACTCATTTCTTTGCTTCTGTTGTTCCAAGTCTCTTCTTCATCTTTAAGGAGATTGTCCAGCATTTGCTACTATACAGGAAGACAAATATCACGTAACAGTTCAATACTCTTTTCTGTGTTTCTAAGGAAATTTTTCTGTCTCCATTTTGCTATCACCTTTAACACGGAATTGTAAAGAGGTTGTATTCAGCAAATAGTTTATATCCTTCAGAACGTGATTGGCGAAATGCATGACATCCATATTAAAGTCTCGATCGGTCGTGGTTATTTAAGAACATCGCGCGAGATTTTACGTTTATCTATTGGTTCCATAGCAACATATCAAGATAAGGAAAATGCAGAGTGTCATGACCACCTATATCCTTTTGTATGTATTTTAAAATCTCGAGAAAGTTACAATATATCAGTAATCTATCACGTCGGAAGAGTGTCGGGATCTGTCTACCCAGATTTTTCTTGCTGTCCGGGTGTCGGGATTACATTTAACAACAGCAATAGCATGTCTTTTAACAACAGCAGTTAACATTTAACAACAGCATGTCTTTTAAATGAACAGGTTTTCTCTGAGGGCAAAGTAGAAGCAGAACATCAGTTGAAATAAAATTTAAATATTCTTTTCAGAAATATATAATAGCAATAAAATGTTCTATTTTCTTTGCAGTGAAGTCTCTTTCATAAAGTAATTCATTTTCTGAAATGTGTGACCAACCTTACTTTATGACGGTCAGTCTAATGTGTTTGTGAGTTCATCGATAAAGATTTGGTAGGCGGTTACTTGCCAACCTCTTTTATTGTATGCGTGGACAATGGCTTAGTGGTGGCTGCTGACGTTCATTCATTGTATGCGTGTGTCTGGGTGCGTACGTCTTGATCAAACTGGCCTCTGTAATTGTTTTGAGCCTTGATAAGCATTAGGTTTCTATTTTTATATCCGTAAAGGGATTCGAAATCTAATTTCACATAGGGGTGTGAACCTTTTGAATACAAGGTTTTCATTGGTTAGAAAATAATTTCACACAATCTTTTTTTTCGAATTTGTGGGAATGATGGAAGGAGTTATTGTTATTTTCTAAATAGTCCAAAAATTAACACGTGATAGGTCTACAACTTCGTCCGCAAGTATTTAGGCGGTATTTGTCCTTTTAATGAATGTTTATCCAAGAAATTTTCTGATGAGATTTTATTGGGAAAAATATATAGGATTTAATTCCTATAAGATATTGCTTGTCTCCTTTCCGAATACTGTCCCGCGTAAGACGATAAACTACATCCAGCATCAAGGCCTCTGATCAGGAGGTTTTGATGAGTGTGTAACCACATCTTAATTGCTGGTGTTCGCAGGTCCACCCTGACCCGTGGTAGTAGTACCTGTTAGGGTCCCAGCTATGGGCAAATAGTTAACATCCAAACTTGTGTAAAAATAGGTTTTAATACCAGAAATACTTTGTAATAAAAAAAATTATTACCAGCAATAATTATTGAAGGAAAAATTATCAGCAACACTTTAAAAAGAATACCAGCAATACAAACAGCTATACATTTTTTGGAAAAAATATGTCCAGCTTTAGATTTCTTCAAAGAAAAATATTCGCAGAAATAGATGTTTGAAGAAAAACTTTACCAGCAATAAAAATTGTCGGCATTAAATAACCCATTGAGGTGTTGATATGGCGTAAAACAAAACAAAACAAACGAAACCTTTGCGAATAATCTTTATGAAATATTTTAAGTATGAAACACCGAATAATATCATCAGTGACATTACTCAAGGACACGGACAACCTCGCAGGTTATATAAATACCATACAAGATCTTATTAATCTTTATCGAAATTTTTGCAATAAGGGGTTATCATAATTTACACAACAGATAGAAAGATAGACAGATAAAAAGTGTTTAATAATGTCGGAAAACATTATTATGAAAAATAGAAACAAAGCCTAAATAGCATAAATTAACAACACGGCCACAATGTACTGCCTATAAATGGATATATATATATATATATATATATATATATATATATATATATATATATATATATATATATATATATATATATATATATGTATGTATATATTGGTTCATGTGTACTTAAATACCTACATCATATATGTGCGAGTTGTTGTGTGTGTGTCCTTTTAAACTGCACTTGCCTGCGAGAAAACTTTATTGACAGCGTAAGATTGATTGTTTATTAAGAAAAATTTCGAGATCCCCGCCCCCGGACAAGCATCCACAACTCCCGTCCGTCTTACCAGTAGTCTATTATAGTTGCACCCAAAGAAATGAAGTTTCCTAAAACTTCGCAGTAATGAAGACCTTTTGACGCGGGACACTCTATCGAAAGCTCTCAATGACTCTGCCGAATTTTATTGAAATATGCCACGAACTGTAACTTTCCCAATACAATTTATTCTTCATACAAAGAACTTCTTGTCTCTAAAATATTCAATAAAAATGTCTAAAAGCATACTCAGACAATTTATTGTGCATTTTATATATATATATATATATATATATATATATATATATATATGGATCTGTGCGTAAAATATATGCACAGCTATCTACTGATATACATAAATTGTATTTTACGTAGTGATATATATATATATATATATATATATATATATATATATATATATATATATGGGGGAGTGAATCTGTGTGTGTTGCTTATTGAATATTTTTCATACAACACATTTTCATGTGAAAGTTCAGTTCATTTTATATGTATAATACCTACAACTGAAAAAAAATTTATGTAATAGATAGATAGATAGATAGATAGATAGATAGATAGATTTATAGAAAGATAGAAAAAAGATAAGTAAAATAAACATAGATAGATAGATAGATAGATAGATAGATAGATCTAAGCAGACTGATAGATAGATAGATAGATAGATAGATAGATAGATAGATAGATAGATAGATAGATAAGTAGAATAAACATAGATAGATAGATAGATAAAAATTATGTGGGTAAAAAAAGATAGGGAGATAGAAAAAATAGATTGGTAGAAGAGACATAGATTTGTGGGTAGAAAATGATTGGTAGAAAAAAATCTAACTTTTTAGATAGATAGATAATGGACAGATTGAGATAGATAGATAAAAAACATCTACCTCCCTATTTATCTATCTATCTATTCCTCACTGTCTTTTCTGTATGTACCTGTCTTTCTTTTTTAAGCCTAGCGTAAATTTCCTTTCGATATTGTAATGGGACTTCGTGAAATATCAAGATAAATAAACCATGACTTGCATTTGATAAAGTATGTCAAAAGGTCCTGAAACTGCTCGGTAACCTTGAAATATTTGGGGAGGAGATTAGAATAAACCAGAATCTATACTAGCAACAAACCGCTTGCATACAGATAGAGAATGAATTTAGTAAATATAAAAAAAATTTGAAAAGTGTGTAAGACATGGATATGTTTTCACATTAGAGTTTTTCTAACTATACAGTGAGACGATTCTAAAAGAATTGGTAGTCTGAACCGAATTTATTATTGGCGGCCACAATTCTAACAGTTTACGATATGCAGATGACACAGTTGATGGTAACTGACATAGAAAGATAACTGCAGCAGAAGTTAATGAAAAAAAAAAGCAGAGAGAAATGGGGAAACATTAATTGAATGTATGGTTGTGAATAGAAGGAACAGCCCAAAATGTGAATTACAAATTGGTAATACTAAAATCAAGCAATTGCAATAATTTAAATATCTGGGAAGTGTTTTAACGGAAAGAACGACACTGAAATCCGAACCAAAGCTGTATATTTTTTCTATCGACAAGCATTTCCAGTGGAGGATTTCAATGTTTTGTTTTTAATATTTTCTTTCTATGTGAACTGTTTTTCATCTTTGTCATGTTGATTCCCATACGAACGACACACTGCGTCGCAACCACCTCTTCCTGGATCGGCATCGACACTTAAAATCTAAGGAGTTGGGTAAATTGCCACAACACAATATTATTTCCCTTATCATATATTCAGACGGGCACTGAAACATTGTTCATATTGATTCCTAGATTTAAGCAGCCGTAAGCCAATAACTTGATAGAATCTTTATAAACAAACTTTTGACTTTTTACCACAATATTTTATGTATATTTAAGTATTTGTGTGTATATATCTATTATTCACCTTTTGTAAATGCTGTTTAGATTTTTGCTTAGTTCAGATTTTTGGGGGGCTCATAATTGTCTACTGAAAAATATTTACATTATTCGGACTATTGTCCTCATCTTTGTCGCCATATTTATTACAACGTTTCGGCCTTTCAATATCTGTCTATATTTCTGAGATGAGGTATTACGTACACTATTTGCATTATTCGGATTACTGTCCTCATCTTTGTCGCCATATTTATTACAACGTTTCGACCTTTCAATATCTGTCTATATTTCTGAGATGAGGTATTATGTACATTATTTACATTATTCGGACTATTGTCCTCATCTTTGTTGCCATATTTATCACAATGTTTCGGCTCTTCAGTATCTGTCTATATTTCTGAGATGAGGTATTACGTACACTATTTGCATTATTCGGATTACTGTCCTCATCTTTGTCGCCATATTTATTACAACGTTTCGGCCTTTCAGTATCTGTCTATATTTCTGAGATGAGGTATTATGCACACTATTTACATTATTCGGACTACTATCCTCATCTTTGTCGCCATATTTATTACAACGTTTCGGCTGTTGTACGCTCCGGCCTTCTTCAGGTGGTTGGAATGTCGAACTGATCCCTTTATTTCGCTCACTGGGGTAGACTGTTCTAGTTCCACGTGCCATGTCTAATGGATGTTAGTTATCAGTTATCTCCTGTTAATTTCCCTCTCCAAGTTCTCCACTGCCTTAACCGGACAAGTAGCACAGTGGATAAAGTCTTTAGTTAGATCAAGTGACAGGACCCAAAGACTATGAGTTCAATACCGGTTAAGGCAATGGAGAACTTGGAGAGGGGAATTAACCGGAGATAATTGATAACTGACATCAACTGCAATTGACCTAACCTGAGGAAAAATAAAAATCGATTACACCCTGTCACTCCAGACAATATTTTTTAAATATAAATGACAATAGGAAAACTGTAGCAGTTGCTGTGTATGTTTTTGTCTTTTCTACAGGTTAACTCTGAGAAATTTTCATATTTGTCGACATGGAAAACAAAAACATACACAGCAACTATTACAGTTTTCCTATTGTCATTTTTATTAAAAAAAAAAAAAAAAAATATATATATATATATATCTGTGTGTGTGTGTGTGTGTGTGTGTGCGTGTGCGCGCGGGCGTATGTGTGTGTGGGAATATAAGTATTCGAACCATACAGTCGCCGATAAGACATGAAAGTGACAGCTTGATGGAAAAACACTGGCGTACTCTCTTCTTGAGAATGAAGTTAGGTGGCAGAAAATGATCGAAAGCTACCGAATATATATATATATATATATATATATATATATATATATATATATATATATATATATATATATATATGTGTGTGTGTGTGTGTGTGTTGTATATATATATATATATATATATATATATATATATATATATGTGTGTGTGTGTTGTATATATATATATATATATATATATATATATATATATATATATGTGTGTGTGTGTGTGTTGTATATATATATATATGTGTGTGTGTGTGTGTATCCCGTCGGATTCGGCGTATGAGGGTCAAGCAGCTCAGTTCCTAGGAACCGCAAGCCGAGATACCAGGACTTTTGATATGATTATAATGGTGAAGGATTTGTACAGAACCAACCACACTTTTTGAAGGGCCGAATACAGAGATCTGGTGCACTACATGCTAACACAAACCACACCAGGTTTTGAATTCACAGTTGTTCTTCTCCTTGACCAGTTGCCATTCAAGTCTATGGTACCTAGTCTGTCCTACTATTTAATGGCTTCGACTAGAATACGAACTCGGCTCTCCGATTCCTCAATCCCAGCCGCTACCCACTACTTCATTGTTCCTACTTTCTCCATCTATATATATATATATATATATATATATATATATATATATATATATATATATATATATATATATATATATGTATGCGAAAAGCACGCGTGTGTGTGTGTGTGTGTGAATAACTGGTAAGTAATTTGATTTGCATCTATGGAAGGAAACTAAATTGATAGATTTTAGTTTTGCTTTCTAGACATTCTCGTGCAAAATTGATTATTCCGGTCTTACATTTCTATAATGGAAATTCGTTCTAAAGTGGCAAAATCTATCTGAAGTTTTCTGATAGCGAAAAACTAAACCCAATTTTCGAAATATACGCCGAAGTTCTGTGGAAACAATGATCTCACTCAGTTAAGTGCCACACGTGTTAGAAACTTGGACGATCATGGATCTTTCGATACATGACCCACAAGGTAGAAGATATTTTTTTCACCGCAGTAAGTTGCCATTTCTTTCTTTGGTAGACTGGTTGCCAGCCCAGTATGTCCTGTAGCTCGACCCATAGCTGTGGGTGGGGAAAAGAAAATGATTCATATCTTTTCCAATCTTATTCGTACGTAAGTGAATATAACAAACTCGAACTCGGCTCTCCGATTTCTCATCCTGAGACAATGTCTATTACACCCCAACGCACATCCGGCATCGATGATTCGTTTCTTTTTATGGGCCGTCTCCCTTCAGAATGTAACCGATCATGGCTCTCCACTAAACCCTCTCCCTTGTAACTCTCAATAAGTTTCGTCCCTCTGCCACTTCTTCCGGACCAATTTAATCATCTACTTTCTTAACCCCGACAGGTATGTCATGCGCTGCTTTTCCTTGTCTCTCTTTCCTTTTATTCGGCCTGTGAGTATCAGATTCTCCAGACCCTCCTTTCTCATTAACTTCCCCAAAAGTTTCAGCTGACTCTTCCTAATGTTAAGTGTAAGCTTCCTCCTTGTTTGCATCCTCTCCAAAACTTCATCGTTGCTCACACGCTTGGTCCATGATATCCTTAGCATCCTTCTGTAGAAACATACCTACGTTGAGTCACTTCTACATCTTTGAAGAGACCGTCCAATATTCATTGAACGATGATATATGTCCTAAAAAAGAAAATATTGGCATTATTTAAATAAAAGTTATTTTTCACAACAAACATTCATTTTGAAATCACAAGAATTGAAGAATAATTTAAAAATACGAAATTTGACTGGAATTTATGGCATCTTGAATTGTTGGTGTCCTATGTGAGCAACAAAAGATTTTTATATAGGACCAATATATTACATACACACACACACACACACACACACACACACACACACACACACACACACACACATACATACACATTTAGCTTCCATTTTTGAAACATGGTTAGAACTGTGTAGCGAAAAAACATATTTTAAATCAATTAATTTATAATATTAATGCTCTGTAAATTTACATTGAGCACTATTTTGTAAAATAAAATATCTATAAGAACACCGGATTATATATCTTACTGTTCTTTCTTCATATCTATCTATCTCTCTCTCTCTCTCTCTCTATCTATATATATATATATATATATATATATATATATATATATATATATATATATATATATGCACATTTCATTGAATACGACACACAAGGTGCTTTTTTTAGTTTTTTATACAATTTCTCATGCGATGTAATTTTTTTTTCTTTTCAGATGATAAATTATATAAAAACTACCCGAATGTTCTTTTTATCCGAGCGCTTTCGGCTGTACATTTAGCCATTTTCAAGGATTAAATATTTTAACTGTTAAATAAGAAATAGCTTGTTGCATGTATATTTTATAAAATGTCTTCATTTTTCAAAACACGAACAAGATATTGTGTCCATGTTCAAAGTTAATATTATTAAGTGTTGTTTTTTTTTGTTTTTATAAGGCTTCCATTATTTTTAGCCTTTTTTTTTTTTTGCATGTAGCTGATGCTATTATATTAGTGTTGTCAGCAAGTATGTTACGAATAGTGTCCAGTAGGTCTCCATGGATATTTAAATGAGATCTAATTGAGCTATGATCAGAAAGGTGTAGAGTGAGTCTGCGTGTCAAACCTGTTGTAGTGTGACCTATAGAATTATTTACGAATTTCATTCGGACAGTTTTTATATAATTTATCATCCGAAAAGAAAAAATATTAGATAACATGAAACGTTTTATAAAAAATCTAAATAAAAGCACCTAGTTTGTCGCATTCAATGAAATGTGCATGAAGGAAGCATTGCTTCCTAAATACACAAACATGTGTGTGTGTACATATAGGCAGGGAGGGAGAGATTTATAGATTCAATTATTTAATTAAATGGTCTCTTCTTTTAATTAACTGGTATTAATTACATTTACCGGTCGGTATCTTCGAAGGATTTCGGAGAAAATATACGTTGTTCCATATGAAGTGAACCTGTATTTCTATACGGAAACCGTCATTTGATTTGTCGTGTTATCCCATTTAGCTACAGAGAAGAGTATAGATAGCAAAGTCCAAATTACTGTTTTTAAACACACAAACTTCGATGATTTTTCTCGATCGATCGTATTTATAAAATGAAGTCAATGTAGACAAAAAATATTTCTACACGTGAACTGTTGCCGAGGGGTGTTGAATTCAATGTCAGTTTATATATATATATATATATATATATATATATATATATATATAATTTAAAAATTATAACATAAATATGTTATAAAATCACTACAAAAATAGCCATTTTGTTTCAACATCTCTGGTGTCTTATCAGGTAATGATGTTCACTTGATAAGCCAGCAGAGGTGTTGAAACAAAGTGGCTATTTTTGTAGTGATTTTATAGCATATTTATGTTATAATTTTTAAATTAATAATTATATTTGCTCAACTCTGTATTGAGCACGCTTTTAAAAATAGTAATTGTTGGTTATTGGAATTTATTCCGTATACACCAATCATATACTTGGATATATATATATATATATATATATAGATAGATAGATAGATAGATAGATAGATAGATAGATAGATAGATAGATAATATTTTGTATGTGCAGTACTTAGTGGAAAGCGCTCAATATCAGTGATAAAACTAACATATTCAATGGTATGGATATGAGTTTGTGACCCTGCGTTTGACGCTTTTATGATCATCAAACAAAGCGGTACATTTTTTTTCAGTTTGTCTGATGACTGAAAAAGCGTGAAACCCTGGGTCACAAACTCATATCACTACAACTGAATATATATATATATATATATATATATATATATATCGAGACAGAAGAGAGAAACTGAATGTGTCCACAACACCACTGCATGGTGGCAACACGCTATAATACACGTGTGTGTGTGTGTGTGTGTGTGTGTGTGTGTGTGTGTGTGTGTGTGTGTGTGTGTGTGTGTGCATAATCATAGATATGTGTGGGTGTAATTGTAATTGCAAACGATAAAACTAAAAAATGATGAGAAAGCAGACATGTTCCCTATCAAATTCAAATATCGAATATTTGTTGGAATTCCACATGTCAATTTCCTATGACAATACTCTAAATGTCTACTGAACTGCTAAAAAAATCATGCAGTAGATTATTAGTATTCTGTAGGATCTCGTCTAGCTCGGCGAACGGCGATCGTGGCTGCTACACAACATTGGGGAAATCCCAAAATATTCACGAAGCACCTTCTCAGCAACTTATGTATCATAATAGATTGTGTTCTCCTGCTTGAATAAGCCATCTTTCATTGGAGATATATAGTGCACGAATGCATACAAACAGTGGGGAAGCTGTGGGATAAAGCACCAATATATATTTTACTCAAATATGAAATCTGATATTGAGGAAGGCTGAGGAAGTATTGTGCGTGTGTAATTTTTGTACCAAATAACAAAAACCGCATCACTTAGAGACATTAAAGACAAACACCTAAAATAGATAACACATGTAACTCGAAGAGAAAATATTGACACAATCAGGATGTTGAAATTCCACACCGCTTCAACCAAAAGGTTAGGAAGGAAACTCCCTATTAATGTCAGAAGTAGCAGTACCAATTAGTGGACTTAAACCTGTCTTCCTAAAGCATCTTTTTAAAGGTAAGATTTTTTACCGATTTTCAACCAAAAGTAGCACTAACTGCTCGGTTAATGAATGCCGAATGTTTCCTTATAAGGAAACAACTAATGTAACCAAGACCCTTAAAGAGGAAGAGAACAGATAATACACTTTGATCCTTGCTCGATGAACAGACAGTGAAGAAAAGTATAAATCAAGGTGCACTTGCTTCTCGGTCAAAGAATACCCATTGTTTCCTTATAAGATTAATACTAAAATTACCAATAGGCATGAGAACAACAGATAATAAATTTGATTCCAGTTCCATCGTGTGTTGGATAACGACGCCGAATACGATATCGGAGAGCGAAGTTCGAATTTCAGTCGAGTTCTTTAAATTCACGGGAAATACCATTGGGAAAAGTATAAATCCATATCTTCTGTCGATAAATAGCAGGACAGACTGATTTTTTTAAAATTTGGTAGCCAGTCTACAGCAGAAAGAAACGGCAACCTACTGCGTGAATATCTTCTGGCTTGTCAGCCATGAATAGAAAGAGACTTGATCGCCGAAGCGTGTATCACGTTTGGCACTTAACTATATTTTTACAGCCTGAATCTATAGCATAAAAAGTTAATTGTCGCACTTGGAACAAAAAGCAGCGCTTAAAAATGGAATAATTAAAAGGCCTTATGTTATTAGGTTATTTGGATAAGAATTTTAGATTCTATTCAGGCCATGAATCTGGTTATCTTTTTACAGACCTGGGAATGTACTTTTCTTGCCTAATGGAGATAGCTGTTATATCAACGACTTGTGACCTCTGACATGAAACATAAAATCAATACGACAATATCAATTATATCAATAACAATGATAATGATGGTGACCGGTAATAGTTTAATGGTCACCCCGTTAACGGTAAAGTTAACATCGTTTTGCGTAAAGTTTAGTTCAAAATTGTTGAACATAACTTAAGTCCTTGAGCCTGACTTAACAAAGCCTTGAAGATATCGATTATATATTAGATTGCTCAAACGAAATTTAATGCTGTTAAGGCGAGCGAGAAAGTGGGAAATAATTTTAAATAATGTTAATTTATAAGCAAACACCGCAGTGGGTTGTAGTCTCCCTTAAGGTTTTTATACACAATTTTATGTATGATACGCTAAAGTGGACGCATTTCCAGTTGCCATTGTCACCTCCCAAAAGTATGTCCGAAACAGAGCACTGAAATTGACTTTAATAAAGTTCGGCATAATATTTACCAAATTATAAAAATTTTATTAAATAAATTCGTGTTATTGGTTAATGATAGGGTTTAGATTAGTCTGGTACAAGGCAGAAGGTGTCCAGTTGTGAGATCCAAACGGCATATTGTTGTAGCAATGTATAAAACTAGCTGACTGATTAAAACCTTACAATTCTCAAAAACATTTACCTAACAATATATATATATAAATAGATAGATAGATAGTTGGATTGATGTGAATTTATGACCCTGAGTTTCACGCTCTCTGCGACCGTCAGACAATTTTGGAACATTTTGGATTTATTTATGTTATCGTATATCGGTAGTGGGAGGGAAAATTATTGTCGGAACACGTGCACACAACGACACATGGATGCGCATATAGGCCCAGTACCACATTGTTCATATATATTTATGTTTGTCTGGGCTGCAATGCGCTCACGTGCGTATATATATATATATGTCTACGAACGTATGAGTGGCGTTCCGACGACAATTTTTCCTCCCATTGCCGTAAAACAGCGATATACTCAACCATAAATAAATCCAAAATGTCAAAAATGAATCAGTTTGTCTGACGATCGCAGAGAGCGTGAAACCCAGGGTCACAAACTTACATCACTCCAACTAAACGTGTCAGCTCCATCATTGATATTGAGCGCTTTCCAATCAGTACTGCGCATATATAATATATAAATAATATATAAAAAAAATTGCATATATATATATATATATATACATATTGCAAGGAATAGATACAAATTATTTCCTAAAGGCATTATGAAAATAAAAAAATAAGATATGATAACACTTACAGAACAGACCAACCGGTTTCATTCCTAAGCTCATCAGGGTCGATTGTGAACAATTTAACAATTATTGCAATATATATTGACTCACAGAAACACCCTACATACAATTAAAACATTAAAAATGAAATGATTAATGGTATGAGGGAAAAAAAATATATATATATATATATATATATATATATATATATATATTTCAAACCGTGGGAATATGCAAAGCACAAAGTGGGGGAATTATAACAGGGGAATGTGAGGTGGAATGTATGATAGACACTAGAGTGTAATAACGTGAAGCCCAAGGAGACCGTCTCTTTGCTTGCAAAGAGACGGCTCCCTGGACCGAATATACAGAGACTCAAGTGACCTCAAATGAAATGGAGAGTGCGAACTGAACAGTACAGTAAACCAATTCGGACTGAAGTTCTTCGCACAATCCCTGCAATTTATTAAATGTTCAGTGATCGCTGACCCGGAAGTATTAACCAACTGGCCCTTACGAGCATCCAGATTAAGAACTCGCAATGGGACATGCTGCCTGATCCTACAATCTAAACGTTGGGAAGTCCTTCCTATGTAGTTGCTACCGCAACCACATTTAAAAGAATATATCACGGAAGAAACATGATGGAGAGGAAGAGGATCCTTACGCATAGAGGGAAAGGCAGAACGAGTCGCAAAATGAATTCTTAGTTGAGCAGAGAAATAGCAGTGATGGACAGCAGACAAGACCCGCCTAGCCACAAGCTCGCCCCGGGAACCAATAAATGGAAGCCGCAAGTAAATGGGGCATTTCTGAACCAAGTATTGTTTTTCCTTTCGAAAATTAATAATTTTATCGCGCATGACACTATCAAGAATATCACTAGGATATCCATTTTTCAATAGAGTGCAGCGGATAAAATCCAATTCTTCATCCAAATATTGTTGGCTGCAGATCATCAAGGCCCTATGAGTTAAGGTCTTGATGAGATTAATTTTGCGTTTTCTTGAGCAAAATGAGTCCCAACGCGTATACAGACCAGAAAACGTTGGTTTGCGAAACACCGAAGTAAAAAATTTAGAAGGAGTTCGATGCACAAGGACATCAAGAAAAGAGAGACAAGAATCAGACTCCTTTTCGATGGTAAATTTTAAAGATGGGTGAAGTTGGTTCATAACTGTAAGAAAAGAATCAGCTTCCACTTCACTATTAAAAAGACAAAATGTATCGTCCACATACCGACGGTGCATTGTCATAAGTGAGGAGGGACGACTCATAAAAGCCGACAAAAATGTTGGCCAAGGCTGGACCCAAAGGGGAGCCCATAGCAACCCCATCAATCTGTCTGTACATAAAATTGTTAAAGCTAAACTCGACAGACATGGTAGCGAATTGCATAAGCTCAACAAACACATTTTCTGGGATATCCGGAGGTGACAAACTACTTCGATATAACATGTTACAACAAATATTAATAGTTTCCATTAATGGAACAAAAGTAAACAGAGAACATACGTCAAAGGAACACATAAATTTATTTTTAGAAGGAGTATCACGAATAACCGGAGTAAACGAAAAAGAATCTTTGATAGTATACGAGCTAAAATGTTCAACAACAGGTTGAAGAAGGTTTGAAAGAAAACTCGCAACCTTATGTTGAAACGAGCCTGACATGGACAGGATGGGTTGAAGGGGTACATCATCCTTATGAGTCTTCAGAAGACCATACAGACGAGGGCGAATAGACCCAACAGGTCTAATATCATCAGTGACTTCACGGGATATGAAACCACGTTTAGCCCAAGATAATAGTTTCTTCTGAAATTTAATTTCTAAAGGAATTGTGCGATCATGTATCTCTACTGGACCAAGAGGAAGAAATTTTGTAACGTCACCAAGAATGCTTTGCATTTTGGAGACATAATCAGAATGGTCCAATAATACAATACCAGCCCCCTTAT